GACTTTGGTAATGAGACCTGGTTTCAGATTTTGAATATATTGATGGCACTTAGTACTATGCCCAACGTACTCAACACCTCTAGACTTCACATCTTTCCTGGAACAGTAGTATAGTCATTTACTTTAAGATTGTAGTGACAGCTAAATTAGGAAACAGATACAGTCATGTACCACAAATGATGTTTGGTCAACAACGATTGATGGTGGTCCCTATGTAGTAGGCTGGATCCTCTAGGTTTGTGTAAGTACACTTCATGGCATTTGTGCAATGATAAAGTCAGCTAACAACGCCTTCTCAGAATGTATGCAGTTGTTAAGTGACACATGATTATATAAACCCTTAGCACAGGGCCTCCCCGATGGCACAGCGGTTGAGCGCTGGGTTGCGAAGCTGCCCCCAGCCTCTGCAGTGCTGGTTTGATCCCCGGCTGTTCCCCGACTGCTCCCCAGCCACCGGAGGAGGGTCCCACATGGCACACAGACCTCTCCTGCCACCCGCTGCTCCCCTCAGCAGTGTACTTCGGTCCTTCTGCCTGCTCTGCTCCCCACTCTGGCTCTGGTGAATTCTCTCACCCTCCCGCGCTTCTGACTGTACCCAGTGCTTGTGTAAATAAATAAATAAATAAATAAATCTTTTTTTTTTTTTTTTAAAAAAAAAAAAACCCTTAGCACAGATCTTTAAATAAACATTAAGATTTTATTGTGTGCCTAGGACGGGCATACAGCATTATTACAATTACTGAGTCATATGTGAGAGAAAATTAACTATAGGAGTTAGATGCAGAAGTCCATAGATTTAATATTTTCTTTGAAATGTCTCTATTTTCCATATATTTTTCTTACTAATTGATAAAATTTACAAGGTGACATTATGGATCCTGGAAGCTTTGATGGAGGGCAAGTAGAACAAATAAACCGTTCTGTAATTACAACTGTGAAAATCACATAGAAGAAAGCCTGTGGGCTGGAAGAAAAAAACAGTCAGCCTATTTTAAGAGCACCAGAAAAAGCTTGCCTGGAGAAGTAAAGTTAAAACACCACCATGAAGGATAAAGAATTTGCCAGAGGAATTTAAAGAAAACTTATGGAGCAGTATGTGCAATGGCCCTGAGATCAAGGAAACATAGCTTATATTTTAGACACTGAAGAATATAACTTGAGGGGGAGATAGTACAAAGTAAGCCTAGAGAGGGTGAGAGGAACCAGATCAGACAGGACCTTGTTGGGTGTTTCAAACTGTATCCCCAGTAGGGAGAAGCTGAGAGAAGATTTTTACTAAGGGAGTGATGTGAACAGGTGAACATTTTGGGAAGATCACTTCTAATGTGCAGAGATGGTCAAGGAGGTCAATAATCCATGTAAAGTATTTAATTAGGAGGTTCTTGGAGTTGTCCAGGAGGTAGAGTGGTTTGATTGAAGTTCTGCAGGGAGGATAGAGAAAAGTGGATATATTTGAGAACTAGTGAGTGCGTAGTTGACAGTCTTGGTGATGGATAGGAAGTGTTGAGGAAGACTCTAAATATTTAGTCTATGAAAGTCCTCAATAAATGTTTTTGATACTACTATAGATCTTATTTTTACACTGCTTTCAGAATATATAAGAACTTGAGGCCCCATATAATTTTGACTGGGAGTAATTTAAAGCATCTATTAGTCATTTGGTAACAATTAGTATTCTGGAATTTTAGTTTTATTAAAAAAAAAAAACAAAAAACACTTTAGGGCCTCCCTGGTGGTGTAAGGGGTTAAGTCTCAGCACTATGAAGCAGTCCACAGCCACTGAAGTGGGAATTGGATCTCCCGCCACAGGAGCTAACCCGTTTGGCACAGGAGACCTCTCCTGTCTCACCCAATGCTCCCCTCTGCAGTGTATTTCAGTCAACCACCCATTCTGCTCCCCACTCTCTTTGGTGAGTCCTCTCCCCCTCCACTGCACCTCTGGCCTATACCCCAGCTCTTGTGTTCATGAATAAATAAATCTTTTAAAAAAATATAAAAAACACTTTATAGCACTGAGTGTCACCTCTATCATTTACAGATAAGGAAACTAAGCCACAGAGAAATTAACTTGCTCAAAGTCAAACAGCTAAGAAATGATACAGTCAGAATTTGAACCCAGCTGTTCTTGCTATAGAGCCTAGCAAGAAGGACTTTACTCCTTAGAGCAACCCTAAAAAAGGTATTTTCATGACTTGACCTTTGTATCTTTACCAAAAACACTGTTAATTTCTCATTTGACCTCACCCAGTGCAATATAAAGGAAGAAAATACAGCTGACCTGAGAGTTGCCTTTCTTAATTGCCCTTCTGATAAACTGAAAGTGTGGCTTTTAATTTTAATTCCCTTTAATCCTTATGAGCATTTCAAATGACTGAAATAGAAAAAATACTGTTTTTTTTCCTCCATGTTTTTTATTGGTTTTTTCCCCAGTTTCTTATTTTCTAGACTGATTATCCAGGCTTTGTCCTCTGAACATTAATTATCATAGCTGTACTATAAAAATAATATGAAGACAGCAAAATGGAAGACTGTATATATCTTTGCAATATAAATCTAGCCACACATGTTCTGTTTGGAGAGAAAACATTTATGAGTATTCTGCAGAAACATTTATATGCCTATAAATAACATTGCTTGGTTACTTTGCTTAGCGTGAATATTTGAGGACATTTTTTTAGTCAGTTTATTATAAGTCTGTGTAGGAATTAAAGATGGTAACAGTGATATGATCTGCCTGTTGGATTAATAAATTTAAAAAAATGTATTTTGCATATGGGTGCGGCAATTTCTGGAAGGATATTACCTCCCTTTGGGTGCCTGCATATCCATATGTAAGCTTTTAAGACTCAGAGCAGATTAAACATTGCTGGTGTGCTCCAGAACTATTTTTTTTTCATAGTTGGGGCATGTCCCATTTCTCTGGAAAACCCTTACTTGAGTTGTCCCGAACATAACCACTAATAGACTGTTTCGCATTTGCATAGGGCTTTTCGTTTTCAAGATTTCACAATCATTGCCTTTTAATCCATATAACATGCCTGTGAGGTAGGTAGATACATTCAAGCATCCAATTCTCCTGCAGGCAAATTTCAGTGCCAGCAGGAGTATTGTGATTGGCACTGACTTTCCCTAATTTCCCAGAGGCCAGACACCTGGAGAGGCTTTCCTGCAGGCCTAGGTACCTGCCAATGTTTAGCCACATGGGGCTGCCTCTTCATTCCTCCTGCTATTTTACTAAGATTCAGTGACTGCATGCACCATTAACTACAATGCTGTGCCGAGTGTTTCAATCTGCATTAAACACATACAGGAATGGAGTATGTTTGGGAAAATTCTTAGAGAGCCGTGTGAGCATGTATGCTCTGTGCAACAAATTTCAACTGTTCACATTTCCATCGCTCCAACAAAAGTACTTTTCATTCATTCAAAACCAGGATTTCTGTTTTTATGTGTCAATATATTCAGGCAGGCAGAAAGCATGCACACCTAATGATTAAATCATCAACAATAAAGTACTGATTGAAATGAAAGGCCAGCGATCATTTTTGTGTGCTTATTTATACCAGGCGCTGATACAAATACATTTATTATCTCGTCCTTACAACAACTCTTTGAGGTAGATACTATCTTTCTGGGTTTACAGCTAATGAAAACCAAGGCTAGTTAGTAGGTTGTGCACATTTGTAGGGCTTATTTAAGCCTAGTCCTGTCTGACTCCAAAGTCACTTTTTAACCATTACTTGATATTCACTGCCTTAAATGGAAGGTATTACATGGAATCTTTATGTGTTGGGACAGTACACAGAAAAGGACAGGTAATGACAGGGTGGACTATAAAGAGGTACATATTGATTTCCTTTTTTATTAAGCAAAGCAAAGCCATGTAATAGAATTGATCTTAGCCACATCAGACTTTTAAACATTTTACCTTTCTGGGCACTTATGACTGACTTCAAATGAAAAGTATTTCCGTCTTCTCTTTCACAGTGTTGATAATTTCTTTAAAAGGGGACTGCATTGTATTTATTTTGCAATCTTATATATTAAATAATACTTAAAACCTTAAATTGCTTAGCTGTTCAGAACTCATTGACTAAATTAACTTTTAAAGATTGGTGGGGCTATAAATTTGAAAATGAAGTACTTATATATGGTGAAACATTCAAATGAAAAAAAAGAATCTTGTATTTAAGCTCTTGAGAGCCCCAGTTCTCCCAGGAATCATTACTATTTCCAGGTTTTTTTTTTGTGGATCCTTTAAAAAGTAGTTAATGTATGCATGTGTGTGTGTGTGTGTGTGTGTGTGTGTGTGTAGGTGTACAGGTAGATGCATACTCATGTTGCAGCTGATATGTTTATGTTAAAATTTATAAACCTGATAAACTCTACAATCATAATTTCAGTGACAATAGAAAGTCTTAAATACATAGTTACAAAACTTCTCTGAATATATTTTTATCATGGAAATCATTAATTGCATGTATTATAGAATGATTGCCTATACATAAATAAATAATTATGATTACACTTAAAATATGTGACATAAACCATATTCTTGAAAGAAAACTAACATAAAAACTATGTAATTCTAATATATTTATAATTTACCTTAATTTTCATGGCTGCTGAGTTATATGTGAAGGAAAATTAACTTTAGGAATATGTTAGATGCAAGAATCCTTGTAGATTTAATCTTTTATTTGAAGTTTCTCTGTATTCCTATGTGTTTTTCTTACAATTGGTTAAATTTACAAGGTAACATTATAACAGAACAAAGCAGTGTTTTGAAGAAGGGCGTTATATTTTGCTGTAATACATAACTATGTTTTGAAAAATGATAGATTTTAATATTGAGTTATCAATTTATCTTGGAAATTGTGTTTCTATTGTAAATTTCAGCTATGAAAACTTAATTTGCCTTATAAAGAGGAATGAGTATCGCATGCATTTTTAAAATTAGGTTGCTAATCTTTTTTTGTATTTTTGTTTTCTAATTTTAGGTTTTAGTATAAAAGCAGTGCCATTCCAGAATGCCATCTTGAATGTAAAAGAACTTGGAGGTATATCATTTAAAATCATTTCTATGTCTGACTTTAACTTTTACTCATAATATATTAATGCATTGCATATAGTTAGAGCAAGATGATTTATTATTCTAGTAGGTGTTCCATTTTTGCCATTTCTCTTGATAATGCAATTCCTGGAAATATTTCTTTCTCCTTACATATGATTTAAAGGTTGTTGAAGAATATAAAAGTAATATAAATTTTGTTTTCTTTTGTATGAACTAAAGAATTATACTACTGATGCCATTTTATACACTATACTCTTTGATTTTGTTTTTTCATAAAGTTTATTCTAGAGTGAAAAATATGAAGAAAATTTTAATACAATCACACAAAGTTCTACATTATGCAGCACAAAACCCCCCTGTATTTTAGAGCAGTTTGTATTTATACTGCAGGTTTTATGGTATTAGGTCTTTTTAGAATGTATTTGTTCCGATAATAAATCTTTGCCAGTGGATTCTTTGCTGGCCAACCACATTTATTGGATAGGCTGCACCCCAAACTATACATCACTCAGTCTTTCATTAAACTCTCTGTCTGGGATTTTTTGGTTGTGTTTTATGTCAGTTAGGGTCTTAACCCATGTAAATAGGTTAACAAAGAAATCAGTCAATCCAGTGAACCTACTAAATTCTCTAATGGTGCAGGAAAATGGCAAGTGCTCCAGAGTTGAGTATAATATTGGTGAGTTTAATGACTTAGAAGAAGGTTCTCTTCCATCTCTTTAATCACTTTGTGATATTGACCTTACTCTATTGTTTTTTTTTAAGTTTATTCTGTGACCTATTTTTAACTTGATAAAATTGAAGCACAAACTTTACACCATTTTAATGGTGTTTGATACCATCTTATTTATTTTTGTCATTTCATTAATCTAGTATATTGACTGATCCTTTCAGTTGTTTGTTTTAGAGAGCCACATCTAGGACAAATTTATCAATTGAAGTTTGTTTTATAGCTACCTTTCACTCTTGTAGCATTAATATTTAAAATCAACCATGGTTGGCAAATTCTGATTTTCCTTTAAGATAATACTTGGTTTTCTCATTTTGACTGCAAAATCATAAGACATGAATGTTCCTATAATAGGATAATTTTTATATGAAAATATTAAAAGTCTGTGTTCTTTTCAGTTGAATATTTTAATGTTACTTTGCAATTTCTGGTGACTCTGCTTCTCAGGGGCCAGAATATTAAAGTCAGAAAACACATTGAGTCAAAATATACAGCTTGAGTATTCTGTTGGCTTTTAAATATGGTTAATACTTAGTAATTTATTATTTACAGTAACTTACTGAATACCCTCTGGATGTAAGAAACTATTGATTAGTTGATAAGTTGTTTATTATTGATGTTGTGTTGCATGATATTAGTGAATGTGTCTAGACAGTTATAAAAAGTGAATACTTCAAGGAAGCTATTGTAACCGTGACCTTATACCACTGAAATTTAGTACAATACTTGATCAAATTAGAGGATGAGGTACATAAGGTAGAATTCGTCTGTTCCCAAGCACCAGTTAATCTTGCTAAAAGAACTGTGCCCTGAGTGTTGCTGAAATGAAAATTACAGTGCGAGGATGCCAAGGGCTTCATAATCACAAAATCATGCCTATTTTGTGATAAGCAAAGATAACAGGTAAAAAAAATAGCACTTCAGAGATTGGAACAGGTACATCAGTTCCAGGCTAATGATATGTAACTTTGGCATGTGGTATTGAAGAACAAATATCTAGCCTGAGCACCATATTCTTTTATCTCTCATTATAATAGCTCTGTTTTGAGATGAGAGGCAGTTTTAAGAAGAAGGTGAGTTTCTGAGCAGAATCTAATTGGTCAGAGACCAACAATGGGGAGAGTTCCTTCCTTGATGGTTCATTCACTAGTTCCTTTAACAAATATGTTTTGATGATCTACACCACCTGAAATAGGAGTGGACACTAGGTGATGTCTCACCCAACAATGCTGGCAAGTAGGCTAACATGTCAACAGTGAAGCTTTCCTATCATTTAGAGTGTGTCTTATATACCAAGAGGTTCATCCCATTATAAGCTATGTGACATTTAGGAGAATTATGACTCTTAAAATCAATGTGTTTGAGAGAAAGTTGTTTGACTGAGAATTTGGACGTTTAAAAGGATAGGGTTGAGTGCTTTAGGATCAGTATTGACAAGAGACTGTTACATCTTCCATGTAAAAACTCCTGTAACTCACATTCACATAAAATTTTCTCATATGGCATTTTCTGTTCACACAATCATTCTAGCACAATTGTGTGATAAGCATGACCCTGGGGGCTGGAAATAAAAGATATTTGAAATGTGTCTCTGTCTTCAAGGAACTCCTGGATCAGAGATGGAGATATTCATGGTAACAATTGAAAGTGATGTAAGTTTTGAAAATAATGAAATTGGGGGGAGAAGTAAACATAAAAGTACAAAGTAAGTGGCAATACAAATATAGACATCATCACTGCAGCCTGTTGGTTTGATGGGCAAGTTTTCCTTTCTATATTTTGAGAATAACTTACTCTCAGCTTTTCTGTCACACCTACCAGGCTGCTCTGCCTATGCTTATCTCTATGTGAAATTGGAACTCTAGATTATCTTCTGTATTTTCTATTTTCCCTTATTCCCACATCTCACCCCCTACCTATTCTCATTCAATCTTTGTAGTTTCATACATAGAGGAGATGCTACCTTTATCTGAAAGATAATGAGACACAGACTCCTTAGACACAGATTAATTGAGTTACTTGATCAAGATTATTTGGAGAAGTAGGTAGAAATCAATGTGAGTGCTTGTGCTTAACCATTGTGCTCTATACATAAAGCATTTTATGCAGTGGCTGCCGCAAGAGAAGTGCTCCCACGTGTCTGTTGCTGTTTTTTAATCATCATTGCATACACAGTTTAACATCCTCACTTGCTGGTATTATTTCCATTAACAATGTATTGATTAAAATATGAACACCTGCTCTGCTCAGAAACTTTTATAGGACTTAATCTTTCATTTATTCATTCAACAACTATTACATATTATATGCCAGACTGAGTTCCAGAAAGTGGTGGAGGTTATAGAGCATCAAGACAAGCACAGGCTCTGCATAAACTAGATAATAGGCACTAGGAGAGACTCTTATCCCCTTGGTTAAAGCTAAATATTACTTCTTATAAACCTCGAACAAATTTCTAGGTTAATCTCTTTGTACCTGAAGGGAATTTTAAAATACCATCCAGCAAGGCCGAGTGTTAATTCTGATCCCTCTGAAGGGCATTCTGTATTACTGTGTAGTGAACTTTTTTTTTTTCCTGCATGCATCTTTTTTCATTTGGGAATTTTTTTATTTTGGTTAAAACTAATTTAAATCCTTTCTCTTTTAGTTTTAATTAATTACTCTGCTTGTCTTGCTCTGAATTGTTATTATTTTTCTGGATGTCATGCAAGACACATCAGGGATCTTGGATAGACAGAAGGATTAATTATTCAAGTAATTCTCCTTCTTCCCCATGACTTGTTTCATAAGCTCAGCCATTTTGTATGATTCTAGGCAAGTTGACCTCCTGTATCTCTATTTCCTTATCTGTAAAATGTAGAAATAATAGTTCTACATCATATAATCCTTGTGAAGACTAAATTAGTTAATGTAGGTCAAATACGAGACATCAGCTGGCTCATATCTAACATTTTTGAAAGATTGATTTTATTATAATTGCACCCTCCTTTGTGCCCTCCTCCCACCCCCCAATCTCCCTAACCCCCCCATCTTTTAATAAAAGCCTTTTCCAAAGTCCTAAAAGTTACACAAATCACTTATTGATTGCTTCTTCTTCTTCTTTTTCTTTTTTTAAAGATTTATTTATTTATGCATGCAAGAGCTGGGGTACACGCCAGAGGTGCTGGGGGTGAGAGGATTCACTAGAGACAGAGAGGGGAGCAGAACAGGTGGATTGACTGAAACACACTGCTGAGGGGAGCAATGCAGGCCAGACACTGAAGGGGTGTGCTGAGCCATGTGGGTCACCTCCCTGGCTGAGGATCTAACTTGTGCTGCAGCAGCTGCAGATTGCTTCATACTGCTGACGATTAACCCCTTGTGCCACCACGGAGGCCCTGCTTTTTCTTCTTGCTTTTTCTTCTTGCAGTCATTCTTCTCCTTCACAGACCAGGTGATCTTTTCTTTCATTGTGTTACACTTGTTGAAATAGAAAAGGCCTGGTTGGAGGGTTTTGGTTAGCTGTCGGGCATATTGTTGGCACTCCACAGGCGTTAATACTACATTTTTTTTTGTCCCTTTCTAGTCACTTTTCCTTGTTTTTAGATTCCTCGTGAAATAATATCTTGTTAAAGTGCCTCTTGTTTTTTTCTCTTTGTCTTACTTATTTTCACTACATTGCTAAGGTAAGTGAAGCACCTGGCATTAGCTGGGTGGAGAGGAGTGGTCCACACTGCAGTGACATCACAGCTCTTAGAATTTTTCACTTAGAAATCTCCAGTTCTTAAATCTACACATTTTTATGCTTTCTTAGATAATTTTGTTTGATTTTGAAATTTCATTTGCAAACTGATAGACTCTCAAGAGGGAATTTTTGCTTCTTAACTTGCTTGGTTTATTATATTTATTGGAGAAGTATACGGATGTCATCATATTGTTTTTTTTTTCCTGAACTGAATCTGAAACTGTGATTGGTTTTGTCAACCACTTCTGAATTGTTTCCCTACCCACATTCCAGCCACCATCCCCACCCTGTATACTCGTTGGCAGTCCTGTCTCCCCAGTTGACACTGGAAAAGACAAAGAAAAGCTAAAATGCATTTCGTTATCTTTTGCACTTCAATATTCATTGCTGCTAGTTGTCAATCAAGGGAAGTTCATGAAGACTTTTGTATGCACTTTATTTTTTTCTTCTAAAGAAAAGACAACTTTTCTTCTTCTGAAAGCAGTGAAGGGAGGATGGAAAATGCAAGTTGTGTTCATTTACCCATTTATAT